CACACACACACACACACACGTTGATACACACACACACTGATACACACACACAGACACACACAGACACACACACACCCCGACACACACACACACTGATACACACCGTTGCCATCTCAGGTTCCATCTCAGGAAGTGGTTCTGGTTCTGTGGGTCAGTTTCCTGTAGAACTGAACTAGAATCTTTCTGATAGATGTAGAGCAGGGAGATGCTGAGCTCTATATGTAGATTAGGTTTCTAGCCTGGTTCTTTAAATCAATCAATCAATCAAATTTTATTTGTATAGCACATTTCAGCTACAAGGCATTTCAAAGTGCTTTACATCATAAACACAAAACAAAAAGGCATAGAATTAAATACCAAAGGTTTTTTTTTTTGTCACGGAATTTAAGTGCCTGTTACCGCCGGCCTCCGCCGGACTCCGCCGGACTCCGCCGTCCGTTTAACTGACAGTTCTGTGGACCGGAACCATCCGAGTAAATAAACGTCGCCTCATATCTGCCGTTATTGTCTGAGTTGGCCACCAGAGGGCAGCAAATCTGTCATGTTGGACCTTTAAATGTCTCAGGTCACCATGAACTGGATCAGAGGAAAGAGTCTCAGATCAGCAGATCGGTGCTGAAGCTTTTAGCCGTCCCCTAAAGCAGAACCAGGTCTGACCCTTGACCTTCTGTCCCCTCAGATACGGCGACATGGTCCCGAAGACCATCATGGGGAAGATCTTCGGCTCCATCTGCTCCCTGAGCGGCGTGCTGGTCATCGCCCTGCCTGTCCCCGTCATCGTGTCCAACTTCAGCCGCATTTACCACCAGAGCCAGAGAGCCGAGAAGAGGCGAGCGCAGAAGGTACGGGCCTTCCTCATACCTGCAGAGTCTTCCTCATCTTGAGACGCCTGATGATGCCAGGAGCGGCCATGGGAGCGAGGTCCGCCTGATAGGTATATCGGTGGTGGTCCCAGTTTCCCAGTAGGTATGTGACTTTGGAATGCGTTCCAGTTGACTTTCCCTCTGGGAAGCTGGAATTTCCCACTTCTGAGTGCAACTGGAACGCAACATCAGAACAAACTGCTTCACCTGAATCCAGATGAGAAGAACCAAATCTGCACCCGACCTCTGCTGTGTGTGTGTGTGTGTAGGTGTGTGTAGGTGTGTGTGTGTGTGTGTAGGTGTGTGTGTGTGTGTGTAGGTGTGTGTGTGTGTGTAGGTGTGTGTAGGGGTGTGTGGTGTGTGTGTGTGTGTGAGTGTGTAGGCGTGTGTGTGTAGGGGTGTGTGTGTGTGTGTGTATGTGTGTGTGAGTGAGTGTATGTGTGTGTAGGGGTGGTGTGTGTGTGTGTGAGTGTGTAGGCGTGTGTGTGTGTGTGTAGGGGTGTGGTGTGTGTGTGTGTGTGTAGGGGTGTGTGGTGTGTGTGTGTGTGAGTGTGTAGGGGTGTGTGGTGTGTGTGTGAGTGTATGTGTGTGTGTAGGGGTGTGTGTGTGTGTAGGGGTGTGTGTGTGTGTGTGTGAGTGTATGTGTGTGTGTAGGGGTGTGTGTGTGTGTGTGTAGGCGTGTGTGTGTGTGTGTAGGGGTGTGTGGTGTGTGTGTGTGAGTGTGTAGGTGTGTGTGTGTAGGGGTGTGTGGTGTGTGTGTGTGTGTGTGTGTGTGGTGTGTGTGTGTGTGTGTGAAGTGAAGTGGCTGCAGGTTGCTGCATGTGCGATGTCCTCAGTGGACCTGCAGCAGTCAAAGGTCAAAGGTCAGAGACGGTCCGCTTGTGCCGGGTCCAGAACTTGGTTGGATCATGCTCAGACAGCAGCCTGTAATTCCACCTTTTCCCAGTAGGTGGCGATAAGAAGCTTCTTCTGCTTGTTTTAATCTTGAGTTTATGTGGCTCCTTGAGCGCCACCTGGTGCAGCCTGGTGGTGATGCAGCTGGAAGCAGCTGCTTCAGCCTTATGCAGGACTAAACCATTCAGCTCCATCTGCAAGTCACTGCTGCTCATTTGTCCCGTCATGGACCCCTCCTGACCTCGTGACCTCTTGTTTATACTTGAGGGACGTCCAAGTTAGTGTTCGGGTTTCTCGTCAGGTTTGTTTTGGTTAGATTTTCATTGCCTTCAGACTCCTAAAGACAACGAGACTGAAGAGATGAGACTTCAGTCCCAGGCAGACCCTGGTGACCGTTTCACACCTCTGGTCCGGTCCAGCACTGACCCAATCATCACAAACCTCCTTCTGCCTGAAACCAAGCAGCTGCTGAGATTAGCATGAATGGCTGCTGCTTCTGTACTTCTCTACCTCAGTGGTCTCAAACTGGACTCCTCGAGTGCCAAAGTCCTGAAGCTTTTAGATGTGTCTCTTCTCGAACTTGATTTAAAAGTCTGAAGTGCCTGGAGCAGTCCAGATCGAATACTGGAGAAGCAGAGATGCAGAGAGAGGCTGCAGGAGACCAAATCTTGATGACCTGGAGTTTGATACCACCGGTTTAATCTGTCAGCATGTGGAGGAATGAACCAATCAACACCCAGAGGACAGGCCGACCAGCCAATCAGCTGGTGTGGTGTTGTAGCAGATCTCTGTCCCAGCCACAGTCCTCCAAGCGAGGCTCTGCAGCAGAAGCTGCAGCTCTGGCTATTGGTCAATGGAGGTTCTTCTGCAGACATCAGGTGTTTCCTCCACCTGTAAGATCCTCATGATCAGTTTTCTGAACCTTTTCTGTCTGAGAAGAAGCTTTGAGCAGCAGCTCCAGGTCGGATGTCCTGTCTCTGTCCCCCTCTGAATGCACTGATGCTGGTCCAGTCTGTCCACCACAGCATGGTTGCTCGGATAATGGCAATCTTTGTGTCCTACAGGCATCCAAAGAAGCAGGCCAGGCACTGGTGTGTAAGATCAACCCCAACTTTGAGCTGCAACATCACCACCTGCTCAACTGCCTGGAGAAAACCACGGTGAGAACCTGAGGTGAGAGAGAACCTGGCCCTGAAGTCAGCCCATGATCTTCTTACCTCCCCTTTGCTCCTCAGAACCACGAGTTTGTGGACGAGAAGTTGCTTGAGTTGAGCTGCCGGGACCTCAGTCCGGTAAAGCAGCTGTCTCCATCTTCCTCCATCTCCACATCATCACCTCATGGGTTCTCCTGCTGTGGCCACAAGATAAGGAAGACCTTCAACATCCCCAACTCCAACATGTCTCTGAGTCTGCAGGGCAGCATCCAGGAGCTGAGCACCATCCAAATCAGGGAGCGGCCAATCACCAACAGGTTGGTGCAGATCCATCAAGGTGGTCTTGGTTCCTGATATTCAGGCTCCTGAGCATCAGGAACCTTCAGAAGATCATGAAAGGTCACAGCTTGAGTTATGTCTGGATGATGGATGAGGAGTAGCAGGTTCTAGAGATTCTAAAACGGGTCCTGGGGTTTTTATTTGGGTTTTAGATCATCAGAAAGTTGCAGGACACTGGCCCTTGTGGACTGAGTTTGAGACTGCTGCTCTGAAAAATTCAGAATCTCTGAGATATCGAGGAGCTTTTAGATCCACCATATCTGTGGAGATTTCAGCAGCTGTGAAGGTCCCTCATCATAGATTGATTCAGAGACCAACTTTTCAGCTGCTGAGCCACAGAGAGGCAGTTCTGGTTTGTTCCCTGCAGCTGTGCTGAGAAACACAGGGCAGCAGCTGGTCATGTGACGCGGCCACGTTGCGCGGTCATGTGACGCGGTCATGTGACGGAGCGTTCCCATGCAGAGTCAGACAGCAGGAATCCAGAGTATGTATGTCTGCGGGAGGACTGGGAACCAGCTCCTGGTTTTTCAGTTTCAGCCATGAAGTGACGACTGATGGAAGATCTGCAACCTGAACAATCACACCTTATGGACACCTGAACTGTTGTACCTGTCTGAGCCCCTGACCCATCACCCTAATGGTCAACTGAGACGCAGGGATGCAATACTGACTGACTGAAACTTCACAGGAAAACCACAATACTCACAAGTCATTTATTGTGAAGCAAAAAATGACTTGCTTCACAAAATTGATTCACAAAATTTGACTCCAGATGTTAACTCCGCATCTTTCCCTTTTGTGTTCCTGTCCAGTCGATCCAGTCTGAACGCCAAGTTTGAAGAGACGCTCCCTCTGAACTGTGAGTCGTCGTACCTTTTCCCGTCTGTGGTCAGCATTCCCACACCGAACATCGCTCCAGACGGAGACCGGTCCTCCGGTTCTCCCGACCACTGCCAGGCCAGCATCGTCCGGGTCTCTGCTCTCTAGAGTCCGACCGGCCGAGGGGCTGAAAAACGGCGGGAGGAGAGAAACGTCTTCCACTGAAACACAAACACTGCTGTAATTACACTGCGTTCCCGGTCCGGCCTCATCTGCAGGAGTCTGGGGAATCTTCAGCACAAACACTGGAGACAATCCAGTCAGGAACAAACCAACTGGAGCCTGCAGACCTGCTGGTTCCACTGGTTCTACTGGGTTGGAGGCCATATTACTGAGCCACTCAGGGCTTCCAGTGATATTACTGGTCACGACCCACTTAGGGTCATGACCCAACGTTAACCTAAGGAACCCCAAAATAACCAAACATCTTGTTCACCTCTGAAAACATCTCCAGCCCTCTGCCCCAGGAACTACTTCTTCTTGCAGTTTGTGTTCTTAGTAGTGAGCTGCTTTTAAAGACCGAAAACAGAAATAGCTGGAAACTTCAGTCAGCTCACCACCAGGAGGCAGCATAACGGGAGGATACCGAGCCAGAGCCAGGATACAGCCGGGTTTCCTTCAGGTGAACCCGAGCAGCCGTCTGCTGCCACTCAGCTTTTATCTGCTGGTAAATTTGGTTGCTATGTGAGACGACATGATTGGCTGTTTGTGGTGCTTAGCAGAGAACTTCATTTGCTGTGATGTCTTTATTATTATTATTTAATCTTTCTGCCTATGCATGTCAATGTTGAGTCTCCTGAGCCAGCGCTCAGACTTACAGCATGCTCCTGAAGGCCTTGCTCTACCACTGGGAGGAAAAGGGACAAGAGGA